GAGTAACCAGCATTCCCTCTCAGGCTACATTGCCCACCCCAACGCGGGCTTGGAATTTGCAAAGAAAAACCACGTTGTCCGGCTTCGGCAAACGCACCGTAAAGGCGTGCAAGTTTCTCTAAAATTGGTTCATAGCCTCATCAGATCTCGTTATTGGAGAGCGTGGACGCTAATGCTGAGCGTGAATTCGGTAAGAATCTGAATTACCAGATATTTTCCTCTATCGGGCGTATTCCTAAATATCAGAGGATTGTATCGAAAAAGTTAACAGTTTAATGACCCGACGGTGGCCTACGACAAATTGTGTTACAGTTCTAAATTCTCCGCGTTTCTGTCCCTTGACACAGCGGGACCTGGTACTATCACTTAAACGCTGATCTTATCCGAGAAAATACTCTTCGTGCTACCCCATTGTTTGGCTCTAAAGTTTAAGTTTCACGCGTCATCTGGCTTTGTTACCCTTGTGGTTCTTCGTAGTAGTGGACCTGGTGTATTTTTTCGCGTGAAGTGTATCTTATGCTTGCATTTTGTTTGTATATGTAAGTTTGCCTCCGAATATTATTTGCAGATACTCATTTGACTTATTCGTCGATAGATAAGAGCACTGTAATTACTTCTTGAATAAAATGATCTAAGTAATTAAAAAGTAAATTATTATAATTAAAATAATAATTATTATCCCTCTCTGCCGGCACAGCACCTCGATGGAAGGAACATCTCAGGACGGGATCATAAATATTCGTACAGTGTGACATTTAGAGTAAAACATATTCTGTTTACTCAAATGTGGATGTAAAGCGATATGATAAGCAGACAAAACTTGTCACACCCACCCCTTCCCCCCACAAACTCAAAGCGCGTTAAGCTTGTGTGCGCGCAGTCGCGTCTCTGAAGACAAACATCTAATCGAATGTTATAATGCACAAAAAGGATGAGTAATTTTTATCTTAGCTTTCTAAAAGCAAACAGATGTTATGACTAAGATTTTATTCAGATAACCGTTTTTTAACTGCAAGATTATTTTACCTCAACTGATAGACGAGCGTCATTAGTAAGGAACAAATTATAAATACAAGTTCCCAGAGCCTCATAGATTGTAGTTACGTGCTTTAGTGTGTTTGTGTGGGACTGAAAAGTTCGGTCATCTTTTAGTAGGAGCCCCTCACAATCTAAAAAATAAGAACCTTTGGTTATTTGACCTACCAATAACAGCTGTTTGAACGCATCGGTTAGTGAGTGTCAGACGTGCATTCTAATTTGAAACAGAATGTCTGTGCTAACACCGAGGCCTTTGCAGGGGTTGTATTTCTTATGTGAGCAGATTGCCGAGGGTTCTTTTGGACGTATTTTCTTGGCTATACATGCATTAACGAAACAAAAGGTCGCAATAAAAGTTCTGGACAAAAAGCGTCTTGGGGTAGAACAAATATGATGTGCTAAGTTATAATTAAGGCTGACGTCTTCAGGGTTCGCGGGGAAATAGACGCTCTCAAGAGGCTGTCTCATCCAAATATCTATTCCCTCTACCAGGTGGTCGAAACTGACACTTCCTTTTACCTCATTGTCGAAGTACTAAGTTTATTATTTTCACAAATATGTTTTATAGTACCTACCCGGTGGTGAACTGTTCGATTATATTCTCCAAAAGGGCAGTCTCGGCGAGCCCGAGGCACGTTCCATCTTTCGCGAGCTTGTCTCAGCCATAGGATACGCTCACCAAAAGGGCGTAGCCCATCGCGACTTGAAGCCGGTAATCGTATTTTTTCGCCTCTTA